TATGTTATCATAGTATATGATGTAAGTAAACCGTTGAAACTTCTGTTTATTTTTCATGTAAAATTTGTTGTTGTTGTCAAATGTTAGCACATTAGACCATTATGCGTGTAAACTCATTTAATTAGTTCTTTTCAATTAATATTATACTCCTCTCGTAGTAAACAGTTATATGAAATAATTTTTAATAGTTTATTCACAGCTTACTAAATCTATAGTAATGAAGGACATTTATTCTTATGTGAAATTTATAAGCATATTATATTATGCAATTTGTTAATTCTTCTATTTAATTTTTCTTAAAATAAAATGTGTTGTTGTTGCCATAAATGGTTATTGTAACTGTTGTAATTGTCTAACGTCTTACTTTTTTTCATCTTGACGTTTGGGTTGTCTCAACAAAACGACTTTTATTATATTTTTGATCCTTGTTTGTAAAATATTGCGCTTTTGTGTTTCTTCTTTAGACAAAGGTGAGATAAAAAGGCAACAGCGTCTAACGAAGAACGGATTGATCTTTAAGTGAAAAAAATACGATAGTAATTAATTTCAGCTTTAATAGTTAATCTCAGCTTACCAATGCATAGTAATGACGGGCATTTATTATTACCTGAAATATATAAGCATAGTATAGTATGTAAATTGGTGAGGCATTTGTTTAATTTTTCATACAAACTTTGTTGTTGTTGTCAAATGCTAGCAAGTTAGACCTTTATTCTAGTATAAAGTGTAAAATAATTAAAGTGTTTTCAATAAATAATATATTTCCTTCCATAGAAAGCTATACTTTGAAATAATTTTACTTTCAATAAGTAGCCTTAGCTTACCAAATGAATAGTGATGAAGGTCATTTATTCATGAAATATATATTTTATAATGCGTTGTTGTTGTTAAATGCTAGCATATTAGAAGTTAGACCATGATAACAGTATAAAATGTAAACTCAATTAATGTGTGCTGTTAAATTAATGTTATACTTCATCTGTAGAAAGCTATAATATGAAATATTTTTACATTTAATAGTTAGTCTCAGCTTACTACATGCATAGTAATGAAGGGCATTTATTCTTACGTGAAATATATAAGCATAATACAGTAAGTAAATTGGTGAAGCTTCCGTTTATTATTTCATAAAAAATGTGTTGTTCTTGTCATATGCTAGCACGTTAGACCATTATACTAGTATAAAGTGTAAACTAATTTAATTCAGGCTTTTCAATTAATATTATAATAATTTCATAGAAATCTATGATATAAAATAATTTTAAATTTAATAGTTAATCACAGCTTACTAGAAGCATAGTAATGTAGGGCATTTATTCTTTCATAAAATGTAGAATTAGGGTATATGATGCAACTTGTTGAAACTTCTGTTTAATTTTTCATGTAAAATGTATTGCTGTGGTCAAATGCTAGCATGTTAGATCATAATACTAGTATAAAGTGTAAACTAATTTAATTTGTGCTTTTCAATTAATATTATAATCCTTCGATAGAAAACTGTACTATGAAATAATTTTACCTTTAGTAGTTAGTCTCATTTTACTAAATGCATAGTAATGAAGGGAATTTATTCATGAAATATATAAGCATAGTATATGATGTAAATTGTTGAAGCTTCTGTTTGAAAATTTAAAATGTGTTTATGTTATCAAATGCTAGCACGTTAGACCATTATACCAGTACAGAGTAAAAACTCGTTGAATCTGTGCTTTTCAATAAATGTTATACTCCTACCGTAGAAAAACATTAATAGGAAATAATTTTATAGTTTTACTATTTAGTAGGTAGTCGCGCCTTACCAAATGAATTAATGAAGGGCATTTATCCATACATAAAATAAATAAACGTAGCATATGAAGTAAAGTATTGAAGGCTCTGATTAATATTTATGTGAAATGCGTTATGGGTGTGGAATTCCAGCAAATTTACGCATGGCTAAATATTTATTTTTTTAATTAATTAGTTGTTTATCTGATACAGATAAGAATTACCCCCGTATTTTTATATGCATTAATTACATAAAAATATTGGAATTGTTGCATAATAAAGTTGGAACTTCTTGCCAATATTATTTGAGAAGGTAATTGGTATCTTGATCTTTTTTGTTTGTTGAATTTCTTATATTTTTGTGATATTTTTGCGATTGAAAGACACTTCGAAAGTAAATTAATTATCGTAATTTGTGAGAAAAGGAGTTACACATAATTAACACCTCAAAATTTAAAGCTTATTTCGTATAAATGTGCAGCAGAATTCATTGAAATTAATAAATTTAAATATTAAACGATAACTAACGATAATTTAAAACGATAACGGTAATGTACTACTGTGTCCATAAAGTAAGACCAATTTTCAATTTATAATTCCGGGGTCTTATGGAATTAAATTTTTTTTTTAAAGTATCCATTAGTGTTTGAGGCTTGGCTTTGTGAGACGCTAAAACTCATTCCGACGATCTTTGAAATGTCCGAATGAATCGAGCAAATAACTTGCATTAAATTTTGTTTGCGGCAACGAACAGAATGTTGCAGAATTCATTCGGTGAGCATTCCTGTATCGGAAAAAATGTTTACAAGTGGTATAAACAGTTCAAAGAAGGCAGAGAACAAGTTGAAAACGAAGAGCCCCCTGGCCGAACATTGACCTCAATCGACGAAGCTCACGTCCAACAAATTAAAGATATGGTGCTTGCAAACCGTCGATATAAAATTAAAGATCTTGCTAATGATATTAGAATTTCAAAAGGAACGGTCAATTCCATTTTGGGCTTTAAACGCGTCAAATCTCGATTGGTACCGAAAACACTGAATACGCCAGCTCACACTCGCCAAAATGTTTTTTCGCCAAAACTGAAACCCATATCGTTACACAACCAATCGTATTCATACGGGAGACTTCTGGCTATTCCCTAAACTCAAAAGGCCACTCCGGGGACACCTTCTTGAGTCGACTGAAGAGATTCAAAGTGAATCGGCTTGCACGTAGATGGCCATTCCAGTCAATGACTTTTTAACATGCATTGAGGATTGCAAAAAACAGTTGGCATAAGTGTCCGGGCGGGATTACTTTGAAGGCGATGAAATAATTTTGGAAGAATAAATAAAGAGTTTTTGAAAAAAAAAAAATAATTGGTCTTACTTTTTGGGCACAATAGTAGTTTCTAAAATAACGAAATTTCATCTAATTCCCCGAATGAACTATTTGACAAAACTACTTTAACAATAACGGTATAACGGTAGACGGATTCATATGAACATATTATATAAATAATGTTATATAAATGGTTTAACATATAACATTGATATATATATATATATATATATATATATAACATATAACATTCACTCATGTGCTCGTTCATTATTGTTTATTTTCTTATGTTCATTATGTTTTCATCTTTATGGTAATTACTTTTCATCATTATCTTCAATCATACAGTAACAATAATGGCAATATGTTATGTTCGTCATTCTTTATTGAACATGATGTTATGTTCATTATTGAACATGATGTTATGTTCATTATTGAACATGATGTTATTTTCATTATTGAACATAAGGTTATGTACATTCGTTTTCATTATTATATTCAGTGATACAGTAACAATAATGGACATTATGTTATGATCATTTCTGTTATTTATTGAACGTAATGTTATAATTGAATTATGGTGATATGTGAGATTCTTAAGATGAAAAATAAGTCAAATTTAAAATACTTCTATGAAATCAACAGTTTCGGCTGCATCCATATTTTACTTGCGTGAGGTAATATATAGTATCTTATTTTAATGTTTCCCTTGGCTGCTGGCTATTCCATAACTTTCAATGCTCGGGTATTTCAAAAGGCATTCGAAAATATGCTTCAGGGTTGAAATGGACTTTTGAGCAAAATTTCGAGGGAAAGAAAACTTTTTTGTAGCTTAAAAAGTATTTTTTGAATTTATAAAGAAAACTTTTTATTTATAGAATAAAGTTATACTTTAATAAATGCAGCATAGAATACGGTATATTATACTGAGTTTATACTAGTCAAAAGTAAGAATTTTTTGCAGGAACTGAAAAGCAAATAACGGACATGAGCAAAAAAATATTCTTTCTCATTTTTCTGTTGCAGATTTACTGTTATGTTCACCGTTGTAGGTATTGTTATATTCATCGCTGTATGCATTGTTATGTTCACTGTTTCATGTATTGTTTTAATATATAAAATATGGTATTCATCGTTCATATGAACCTCTTAAATAAATAATGTTATATAAACGGTATAACATATAACATTGAGATATATGTATATATATATATATATATATATATATATATATATAAGGTCATATAATATTCATTCATATGGTCGTTCATTATTGTTTATTTTCTTATGTCCATTATGTTTCCATCTTCATGGTAATTCATTTTCATCATTATATTCAATGATACAGTAACAATAATGGTAATATGTTATGCTCATCATTGTTCTTTATTGAACATGGTGTTATGCTCATTATTGAACACAAGGTTATGTACATTCGTTTTCATTATTATATTCAGTGATACAGAAGCAATAACGGACATTATGTTATGTTCATTTCTGTTATTTGTTGAATGTAATGTTATGTTCATTACTGCAACATAATGATGTGTTTTTCATTATTGAACATAATGTTTTGTTCATTATTGTTCATTGAACTTAATCATTATTTTTATCATTTGATAAAGCTATGTAGAACAAAAAAAGAAATTACCTAAAATAATATAGGAATAGGCAAATGAAATATGGTATTAATAATAATGTTATACACTGAATTTTGGTATTCGGTCTTATATTCATTAATAAAAATTAAATAGCTTTAAATACCAACCACTTTGATTAGAATTGTTTTCTTGTAGTAAAATCAGTTTACTCTAAATTATGTTTCTGTTTCATTGCATCTAGGTGATTTTCATGCCTCCTTTCACCTTACCCCAGAGCCCAACTGAAGAACTTTTCACTCGATAGATTTATTGCGGCCATACCATGCTGGATATACCGGTTCTCGTTAGATCACCGAAGTCAAGCATCATTATGTGGGGTCAGTACTTGGGTGGGTGACCACCTGGGAACACCGCGTGCCGTTGGCATTCACAAATTTGGGACCTGAATGGCTGAGTGTCTAGCGCTCTGGCGCACGGTGCCACAGGTTTCGGGTTCGAAACCCGGCGGTGCCATGGATGTTTGTAGTGGTTCGAAATCCACTTTAAGCCGTAGGTCCCTGTCTCCCATGACTGTAAGAGCGTCACGGGGCCAAAGTCAGACTTCTACCTACGGGTGCTCCATTACAACAAAAGCTGCTTCCTTCCCCTTCAATCATGAGTATGTATGGGCTCGTGGGCTTGGCCAGCCAAGTGGGATAAGAAACAACAACAACAGATTTATTGCACTCATTTGCAGAATAACTAGAAATCTAATTCAAAGGTCTAGAAAAAACTATATGGCACTCTAGAGAAGCACTCGTTGTACTTTCTGTTACGCTTCTTATTTTTGAGAAAGCACATTTAATGGTTTACGAAAGCGAAGATCATGAATATGGACTTCGTAAATATAACTACCAAAACAATAACGCACTAAACTACAAATACCTATAAATAATTTCACATTTGAAACAAAATTTTTATGATTATTTTTAACTTCATAAACATTTATCAATGATACGAAACATTTCATTTAAGACATAAGTTTTAAATTTTACAACCAATTAAATTAAACTGAATTTTACAAATTAATTTTGTTGTATATTAAATAAATTTTGCGAGAGCAAATTTTACAAAAATAAATAAGTATTTATACAAATTTTAAGAAAATTCCATCCATAAAAGAAAGAATTGTGACATGTTTACTTCAAAAAATATAAATAAATAATATATATATACATAATCTTGAGACTTAGACAAGATATCATGCAGATTGGTGGCATATGTCTTGCATATAAAGCTTAACTTTGACACACTGTCATATTTTTGCTCCCATAAGCTATTTTCTACGTTCAATTTTTAAATAACTATTTTGAAAAATGTAGATAAAATATTTTTATTTCAATAAATAACTATTATATTTATTATTTATTTAAAAAAAAAAATAGGAAAATTTGAACTAAAAATATGTAGTGTGTATGTAATATATTTGCTTGAATATACTAACGTGAATAGTTAAAGAATATTTTTTATTCCAACATGTATATCAAATAACTTAAAAAGTACAGACATTTTTCAAAATCACTTTTGACATATTTGAAGTGGGATACATGAAAATGGATAGTATTCTTAAAACAAAGCATTATTGAAAGCATTGTTTTTTTCTTTTTCTGCTAATGCAGCTGGCAAATAAACCGCGATCTTCCTCGATAAGGACTGCACCGATGTTACTCACTTTGTATTACCCGGGGGAGCGTGTAACTTGATGGTAAGCCACGGACGCGGATAACAATGCCCCTTTTCCTGTTAAGACCGGGACCTACGGCTTAAAGTGGATTCCGAACCACTATAACACCCATGGGCAAAGCCGGGATTTGAACCCGATACATGTGGTACCGAACGCCAGAGCGCTAGCCATCCGACATTGAAAACATTGTAAAGTACTAAATAGCGTAGTATTCAATATTGCAGATAGAACATTTTTTGGACAAGAACGCAAGTGAATTTATGAAAACCCGAGTTTACAAAATATGTTCTCTGGTGTAACTCAGCTGACGAAAATCTGCCACTGTTTAATCGAAAATGGGCTAAACAATTGTTAACCAATGACTAAAAAAATTATTCATCTATATCAAACTTTAAGAATTATAGAATATTTAAATATAACATGTGTAATGTGGTGCCATCCCTATCGACTATTATCTTTAAAAGAGTTTGTAACCATGATTCTTCGTACGCATTGGCGAGAGCGCCACCTGTGGTCTTCAAGAGATATAGTTAGTTGGCCTACAGACTCTCTCCCGGAGAGGAAATATTTTTCGCGCATCCAGCGCGTGCCTGAGTATCGGGTTTTCGGTCACGAAATGGAATCTTTCCACGAATCTATAATTATATGTATTTAAATGTGTTACATATTGTATGTATCTAATTGGATGTGTGTGGTGTTTGTGCGTGTGTCAATAAAGCTGTAAATTCCCCGATATGTGTTTCAAGTATTTTAATCCAACCACACCAAATTACAATATCGTTGCCCAACCTGCTCATTACAATTTGACATATGGTGAAAATAATCTCTAGAATACATTTGATTAATCTAGAATCTTTCGTTCTGCTGATATTATATCTCGCTGTAGCAAATAATGTTCCCCAAAATGTGACAGATAACGTACTTATATTCGTCAAAGGATGTTGTTAATCACATTGGATAAGCTGCTATCATTGTATGCAATCGTTACATTGATAACGAATTGCACATAAGACAGAAAAGTGTGTCAATTCCCTTTGATTTAAAGAAAAATAAAAATAAATTTTGAATTTTAATTTTATTTATGGAACGAATATTATAACGAATAACGAATAATATATATATATAATATATTATAATGAATTTTATTGATGGTTTGTGTTTTTAAGCAATGTACAATGGGAGAAAACACCTCGACATTTGGCAAAAAAAATCAGCATTTCATACAATCGTTTTCCAAAATTGTTTCTTGTGGAGTTTTGAGGATGAGGAAATTCAAATGTAACCTTTCAAATCTCTCAGTACAGCAGATCGTTGTTAATTTGACACAAATTTGATTCTTAAATACGCATGAGGCAATATTAGTTTTACGGCATGAGATTATATTAGTTTTATTTTCTTCATATGTATATTTTCGTATAATAAATTTAATTGAATACACTTTATAAAATATAATAAAAGCATAATTATTTTAAGTTAAGTGATAATAAATAATATTACTGAGAATGCGTATTGGTATTAATATTGTGTGTAATATAATAATACGTTGTTGTTTTTCATCCCACTTGGTTGACAAGAATATCTACACCCATGTTGTCTCATGGAAAGAGGGGACGGGATACCAGCTTATGTTGTGGTGGAGCACCCGTAGGTAGAAGCCCGACTTGCCTCTGTGCCGAAGACTTCACGGGGTATTGTTGTCAACCCTACACCCAATTCTCTACAGTCATATTAGACTGGGCCCTATGACTTAAAGTTGATTCCTAACGCTACACGACTCGCTCCTAACGCTACTCGACTCGCTCCTAACGCTACTGTCGGGACTCGAACGCAAATCACGCGGCACCGAACGCCAGAGCGTTAGTTGGATAGCCATCAGACCCTATATAATAATGTTATTAAAATTATCTTCCAAATGTCATGTTTTACATTAATTTTGATACAAATTTTATCTTACCAGCTAAATTATTTTTCTAACATATATTTTTATTCCATATAAATAAAAAAAAATATTAAAACATAATTATAACAAGTTCCATAAAGAAAAAAATATAATAGCATTTTTAACACTAAAATATTAAACAATTTTCTCCGTTTAAGTTTCTCATTAATTTTGAAAAAAATTGTTATTGATAATAACAATGATTCTTTTTAATTGATTATATTATTTACTTTATTGATTCAATTAATTAATAATTTCTTTAATAAATCCCCAATGATTCCCTTTAAAATAAAACTTAAAAATACAAATCTTCATAATAATTTGAGTTTGATTCCTTGAATGTAATCTCAAATATTATCTCCCCTTATGGGTCCGCATTAGAATTAGCCGCACTGTAGTCCATACATGTCGTAAAAGGGGACTACAATGTGTACTCAGTTCCCGGTGGTATAACCGGGTGGAGTGCTATAAAGTCAGATTTCTCCCTTTGGGTGCCCAATGTCTTTGTGCCGCAAAGTCAAGGACAAAAAGAAGCTTCATTGTTTACCCTTTATCATGAATCATCTACATGGGTTGATGGAGTTGGTCTAGATGATGCTGCCGACCAAGTGGGATGAGTAACAACAACAAATATTATCTGAATTCAACATGCACAATCTTTGTTCAAATGCACAAGCTCTAAACTTTGATTATTCTGAATTGGTTGCTGAATTCGTTTCAAAGATTCTGCATGATTCTCTTGGGATCAACTGAAATTACTTTGTGGAAGTTAACTTAAATTTGTTATAAATGTATCAGAAAATATAAGGGTGTGAAAGTTTTCTTCATTATATTTCTCTCATGAACACTTTGAAGAAAAATGTACAAGATGTATTTTAAAATTTTTAAACAATGTTTCTAGAGATTGTTCAGATAGTTATCCAATGCGGAGCAGTGTAAATTAAATTACTTCTACTCTATGTGTTTTAAATTTGGATACTGTATTTGTCATCAATACCATGCATAGATTTTGATCTGTTCCTTACTTAACGCACAGTTTTTGAATGCATCAATAACTCTTTGATATAAAACAATGGCACGTATTCTTTTAATAGCTTCTTCAGAATATCTTAAGATCATTTGTGCTGCAAAAGACATTCCAGAAGTTGGAATTTCTTTCCTTACTTCTAAAAGTTACTTTTTTTATACCATTTTGTATTACCAGAAGTATCTTAAAGAGAGGACTACGATTCATAACAGAGAAAGTTCCTTTCGTAACAATCAAACCAAATGATTACATTTAACGAATTTTTACTTCTTCAACAAAGCCATTTTTTCTATTTTGCAATAAACTCATTTATTTTCATATTTTGCTGAAAAAGAGAGTATTTTTTTTTACTAAATTTTGAAATATTTTGCTTTATGTTTAAATATAAGTTTCATTTTTTTTGCAATAGTTTTTCTTTAAAATTATTGCATTATATTTATATTACTGTTAGGACTGTTTTGTTATGTCAAAAACGTTTTTCCTATTCTGGGATACATCTATTGAATCATATAAAAGGAATAACGAATTTAAAGAATATTAATGAATCAAGCATATTTAAAATAAATCGATTTCAATATAAAACTGACATCTCAAAAAGGGGCAAATGTGCAGTACCAAATATTAGAAACATATACTATGCAAAAGATTCATGGTTGATATGGAGAAAATTAGTTTTTTCTCTTAATTTTCAAAAAAAAAAAACCTTAAAAATTTCGTATAAAGTTAACTACTT